TCTTGCACAACTATTAGCAGTAGAGGGCCTATGACCCTCAGTTCAAAAGTTCTGATTCCTTCCAGCAGAGGGTGCACATACACCTTGTAGCTAGTCATAATATTAAATCCTGTATAAGGCTGTACCTCCTTTTCTGCCTCTCCTCCTCCTGCGTCTCCTCCTTCTGCGTCTCCTCCTGCCTCTCTTTGCTCCTTGCTTCCTGTCCCTGGCGTGTCTTCTAAAACGGGAGGTTCTTCTGCTTCGGTGCCTGTGGTATCGCCTGTATCTCATCGTTTCCTGTTTCCAAGATCTCTGCAGCAGCTGAATGGCTGTTTCTCCATGGGGCCATTCACCTGTCTTGGTGGATGGTATTGGCCTCCTTCAGGTGGTGAGTTGACGCATCTCTGCCATGTATCTCAAGAGGCCAACGATTATGACCTACGAGGGTTAGATTGGGTTTGCAACCCATACCTCATAATGGTCCGCTTTGGCCATACATAATCATATGCAGCCAATAGCTTTCCCATCGTTAAAGAAACTGCTTTGCAACTGGCCTTTACCTGCATAATTGTTCTCCTTGGTCTCTGAGGATAGGACAAGAAGCAATGGGCTTAAAACTGCAGCAAGGGAGGTTTAGGTTGGACATTAGGAAAAACTTCCTATCTGTCATAGTGGTTATACACTAGAATAAATTACCTGGGGAGGTTGTGGAATCGCCATCACTGGAGATATTTAAGAGCAGATTGGATAGACACCCGTCAGGGATGGTCTAGATGGTGCTTGGTCCTGCTTGATGTCCTCTTGAGGTCCCTTCCAGTTCTAGAATTCTAGGATTCTAGGATAACAACAACTGATCCCCCCAGAAGAGGAATTAAAACACACAGGAAACAACATCTATGGTATCTGCAGCCCATAGGGAAACACAGTGCTCATAGACCCATACACGCAGCACCATCCTTTGCTGGCCATTTCCTCCTCGTTGGCTCCTCTTTGGTGGGAGAATGAAAGGAAAAGTAATCAAAAGAAAGGGGAAGTAGCAGGACCCACCACCGGGATGAGTGCCGAGGAGTAAAAATGAGGAGAGGGAGGTTTCTAACTCATTTCCATGAACGATGTCTTCCGTGACTTCCCATCAAAGCATGTCATGTGCCTTGTCACAATTAAATTGCAATGAGATCACGAATTGCCCCCTCGGCCCCCGGAAATAAAGAAACAAAGACCATCCTCCCAATAGTTCGGTGTGCTTGTCTCTCTGCTTTTCAGGCTCACATGGTACTTGGTGAAAATAATTACCCAGAGAACTGTTACTGCGTCTTATGGAAGAGGAAATCGAACAATGTGCCTAGAAGAGGCCATGAATGCTGTAGGACCTGCATGGAAATTGAAGTGACCCTACCAGAGTACTGTACATCATTGATGGTCTTCAGAGCCTCATCTTGAGGCTTTAGTGAACTTGGGAGATGAGACCTTTTCTGCTTTCCTCCCAACAGGAGCTTCCATGGGGTTGTTGTTTCAAATCGGGATTGGACGCCACCAAAAAGCTTGGATGTTTGGGCAGAACCATAAGACATGACCACTGAGCGGAAACTAACCAGATCTCTCCAGAATGCCATTTGAGGCATGGATCTGGATTTTCTGCCCAGCCTCCTGTGCTTCCTAACTTCTATCAGACTGAGACCCATGTCTCCCATAGGCAGCTCTGTCAACGCATCATAGAATCATAAAACACTAGGATTGGAAGGGACCTTGAGAGGTCATCGAGTCCAGTCCCTTGCTCCCATGGCAGGACCAAATACTGTCTAGACCATCCCTGATAGATGTTTATCTAACCTACTCTTAAATATCTCCACAGATGGGGATTCCCCGGGCAATTTATTCCAGTATTTGACCACCCTGACAGTTAGGAACTTTTTCCTAATGTCCAACCTAAACCTCCCTTGCTGCAGTTTAAGCCCATTGCTTCTTGTTCTATCCTCAGAGGCCAAGATGAACAAGTTTTCTCCCTCCGCCTAATGATGCCCTTTTAGATACCTGAAAACTACTCTCATGTCCCCCCTCAATCTTCTCTTTTCTAAACTAAAGAAACCCAGTTCTTTCAGCCTTCCCTCATAGGTCATGTTCTCTAGACCTTTACTCATTCTTGTTGCTCTTCTCTGGTCCCTCTCCAATTTCTCCACGTCTTTCTTGAAATGCGGTGCCCAGAATTGGACACAATCCTCCAACTGAGGCCTAACCAGCGCAGAGTAGAGCGGAAGAATGACTTCTCGTGTCTTGCTCACAACACACCTGTTAATGGAATGTTAATGTTAATGCATCAGTCCCTATGGGTCACAGAGGGTAGTAACTTACTGCGCACACAGCCATATTGATTACCGCTGATTGGAAAATGTTCATTTGGAAAATTGAGGGTCGGAAATCCCAGAATAGTCCATAGCCTGATGACCAGCATCTTCATGTGGGAGACCCACGTTCAAGTTCTGCTCTAAGGAAAGGCCTTGAACACGGGTCTTCCACATTCTAGGTAGGTGCTTTGACCATGGGGTATTGCTGATGCTGGAATCTAGTGCATCACCCTTTTCACAAAAAAAGTCAAGAGTTGTGTTGTCATTCTGCATCGGAACACAATTTTGAAGCCTCAGTGGTTTTTTGCCCAAATGAATTGTTCTTTTGTTATCTCAGTGGGGGCAGATGACCAGAACAAGGAGCAATGGGCTCAAATTGCAGTGGGGGAGGTCTAGGTTGGATATTAGGAAAAACTATTTCCCTAGGAGGGGGAGAAAGCACTGGGATGGGTTCCCTAGGGAGGGAGTGGAATCTCCATCCCTAGAGGTGTTTAAGTTTCAGCTTGACCAAGCCCTGGCTGGGTTGATTGAGTTGGGGTTGGTCCTACTTTGGGCAGGGAGCTGGACTCGATGACTCCTGAGGTCTCTGCCCCCCCTAGGATTCTAGGATTTTCCAGCCAGTCCTGTGACGTCACTTTGTGAAGTGAGGCATTTATGAAGCGTAGCGGAATATGGCCCTTAAAAACAAATCACCCTGAAACTTAACTCAGTCATTTTCAAACCTGGATTCAATGTCATGTTGTTGGTATGCATCAATTACAATGACTGTGACAAAGGACCATGTCACATTATGGATACCAAGTTATGAAGGTAGATAAACAGAATCAGGGGCTTTATTTTTGTCTAGTGCCTTCCCCCTCCTATGATTGTTATGGATATTTATTTTTTTATTGCTTCTGTCATAAAGACCATAGTGTTTTGATTGTAAGGAACGCTTTGTCTACTGATATTAAAGGATTTTGTGAGCCATCTGGTATATTTTCATCAAGTCTTACACACAAGTTCTGTGCTTCTTCAAGATGTGAAGGTTACAATTGGAAAAAGCATGTAGTTAGGTCGTTTGGCTCCATCAACTTTGATTTGCTTTCTCATAAACGTATCTATAATATAATAAAAATTCATAGATGTGATGTCCAAAAGGGACAGTTGTATCTAGTCTGATCATAGAACTTCCTCAAAACAATCCATAGAGCAGCCCTTTTAGATAGTCAATCTTCATAGAAAAATGGTCAGTGGTTGAGAATCCTCCATGACTCTTGTAAATTGTTTGAATGGTTAATGATTCTTACCACTATCCATTTATACTTCCAAAAGGAAGTTTTTCTTCACTCAGCGCACAGTTAACCTGTGGAACTCCTTGCCAGAGGATGCGGCGAAGGCTAGAACTTTAACAGAGTTCAAAAAAGAGCTAGATAGATTCATGGAGGTGAGGTCCATCAATGGCTATTAGCCAGGATGGATAGGAATGGATAGCCCCTGTTTCTCTGGAAGTGGGTGACAGGGGAGGGATCACGTGAGGATTACCTGTTGCGATCCCTCCCTCTGGAGCATCTGGTACTGGCCACTGTCAGCAGAGAGGATCCTGGGCTAGATGGACCTTTGGTCTGACCGAGTATGGCCGTTCTTGTGTTCTTATACCTTATTTCCAGTGTGAATTTGCTTAGCTTCCATTTCTATATTGAGCTACGGGCTGCGTAGGAGATATCACTGGGTTCTATGACAGAATGCTGGAATTTGGCCAAGTCACCTGGGTTTCGTACAACACCCCTGGCACTCAGAAAATGATCTCCCAATCTGCCAACAATTAAACCGTGGATGACTGAATCAAGCAAAACCATTCATGTTGATGCCCACAGTAAAGGCCTCCTGCCTTACAATCTGTGAATCAAAGGTGCCTATCAGCTCCCAAAGTCAAACCACCAAACTGGAGGAATTCGAAGTTTGTTGAAGTACCACATCAGCTTCCGTGAGAGAGAGATTTTCTTCCTCTCGATGTGAAGGGAGAACATAAGAAAGACATTTCCAGGCAGTGGCTAAAGACTACAGTGCACATGGTCTTATTCTGTTCTAGAAAACCTGGTTCACAAAGGAAATAAAAAGATCTCCTGATTTCTTCCATAGTTGTTAAACTATTAGTAGTAGAAATTTACAAGCCCTTAACAGAATCTTCTTTCACATTCACGTGAGCCTCAAGTCACTTCTTTGCCAACAGTGATGGGCCAGTACATGCCAGCACACAACTGTTGTGAGCTCAGAATTATATCACTAGAATCCATGGCATTACGTTTGTCTATGTGTTGTTATTGTTCATGTTTTTAATGCAGTAGGCAGCTGATAGAAGACACCTCATAGGCCAAATTCATCTCTGGTGTTATCTTGACTAGGCCAATAAAATTACATCAGGGATAAAAGTATTCCCCCCTTCCCCCTCCTTTTTTTTTAGTTTAGCCAGAAATCCCAGGAGGATCATGAAATGTCCCTTTTAATAAAGCATTTGAACATTTACGCTTCAGTGAAAGAGGGCAGCACACTTGTGAGGCCAATTAGGACTAATTCTTTTAAAGTGCTTAGTTCACGTGCGTAATTTCGGTCTTCCACACATATGAACCTTTCTGGTATTTTACTGTTAACACTCAGGAGGGTGCTTTTGATCATAATTTTTAGAAATGAATCCCAAAAATGAGTAACCTGGGCTAAACTCAGGACAGAGATGCTCGTTTCTGTAGCAAGAAAACAGTATCGCGCTTACTCCGCTGCTTATCAGGTGTCTACATGGCTGGGACTGTGAGCAAACATTCCGAGCAGGTATCGCATGATAGTTTTGTATTGCTGTTCTACATGCACATAAACACAGCAAGCTTAATTAATAGGCAGCAGGTTCAAACCAAACAAGACAAAATATTTCTTCACACAGCACACAGTCCACCTGTGGAACTCCTTGCCGGAGGATGTTGTGAAAGCCAGGAATTTCACAGCATTCAAACAAGAACTAGATATATTCATGGAGGTTAGGTCCATCAATACTTATTAGCCAGGTTTGGGGTGAATGGTGTCCCTAGTCTCTGTTTGTCAGAGGCTGGGAATGAGCGACAGAGGAGGTATCACTTGATGATTCCCTGTTCTGTTCACTCCCTTTGGGGCACCTGGCATTGGCCACTGTGGGAAGACAGGACACTGGGCTTGATAGACCTTTAGTCTGACCCAGTGTGGCCGATCTGATGTTGAAAATGTCTGTGGGATTGAGAAGGAATGTCCTAGCCCTTTAAGAAACAAACAGGAAATGACAACAAAAACTGTCTGGGTATCATCTGAAGAAGTGGGCTATGCCCACGAAAGCTCATGATGCCATCTACAAGTTTTGTTAGTCTTTAAAGTGCTACCCGACCATTTGTTGGTTTTTAAGTTTTTCAGACTAACTCAGCTACCCCTTGTGGCTGTGTCTAGACTGGCCACTTTTTCCGGAAAAGCAGCTGCTTTTCCGGAAAAACTTGCCAGCTGTCTACACTGGCCGCTTGAATTTCTGCAAAAGCACAGACGATCTCATGTAAGATTGGCAGTGCTTTTGCGGAAATACTATGCTGCTCCCGTTCGGGCAAAAGTCTTTTTCCGAAAAACTTTTGCGCAAAAGGGCCAGTGTAGACAGCAGAGATTTGTTTCCCGCAAAAAAGCCCCGATCGCGAAAATGGCAATCGGGGTTTTTTTGCGGAAAAGCACATCTAGATTGGCCACGGACGCTTTTCTGCAAAAAGTGCTTTTGCGGAAAAGCGTCCTGCTAATCTAGACGCGCTTTTCCGAAAATGCTTTTAACGGAAAACTTTTCCGTTAAAAGCATTTCCGGAAAATCATGCCAGTGTAGACATAGCCTCTGGGTATAATTAAAGTGACTCCTTCCACTTCCAGAGGCTATTCATCTGGGAACAGGAAGCTGATAGGGGAGCGACAAGGGCTGGTCATTTCTCTTTGGCTCCCGTAAATGAGTATGAGCAGACACAGAGACTTTGTGGAAGTTAAGTTGAGGAACACTGAGTGGAGGTGAGGGTCTTTCCCCGTCTTGCCCCAGTCGGTGAAAGGGGACGTACTGATGTCCAACTGAGGAAAGTAAGGTGGAGCTGACACCTGGCCACAAGGGGGTGTACCGGGATGGCCTACCCTTTCCCAAGGATGTGCTGACACACCATGCGTTTTACAGCTTTACTGGCAGGTTGGTGGCAGGAAGCCTCCTGGGTCTTGCAGAGTGCCCCGTTAGCTGGCTTGTCTCTTGTGGTGTTTCCGGTGAGGGGCGTTGCTGATTTTCACCCTCAAGAAGCAGGAGGCGTGTTGGCTGGGGGATTGCTGATGAGATGCACGGCTCCAGACCGGCCCACAGACAGGCCTCGCAGATCATCTCCTGTAGTAGTACGTCGTCATCACACGCACGTACCCTGCCACAAAAAGACAGAACACGGCCCTCCCTGAAAACCCAACCAGTCAAAGAATCGGTAGCCATAAGCAATACAAGCATTGTGTGAAAGTAAAGACGTTGCTAACTAACGCAGTGGGGGGCCGATAGCCATCACAGGCCCTGGGGCAAAGTGTGGGGAGGGCCAGCTCCGCCTCTTTCCAGGGGGCGGAGCCACAGGAGGAAAGGGCAGGGCTGGAAGAAGCGATCCCTTAACACCGCCTGCGCCGCAGCGCTAGGGGTCCCCCTCCGGCCTTCAGAGCACCCCGTAGCACCCCGCATAGTGAATTCTGGCCCAGAGCTCCTGGATACTGCTGCTACTGCTAGAGTCACCTGGGACAACTGCTCTCTTTGCCCCTCCCACCACAAGGAATTACACCGCACACCCAAACAGCTATCTAATCTGCCTGCACACTGACCAATTAGCTGCCCCATGCTGGTTTCTCGGCATATAACTCCCTTTACTACTCACTCAGTCCCTCCGCTTCATATTCAGTAGCTACAGAGAACGCGTTAAGTATGAAACGGGCGTGGTGTTTACCCTTCCTCTTCTTTAATGGTGGTCTTCTACAGGTGCACCTTCTCCTGCTCTTCCTTGTCCTTCTGCGGGAACGCCTCCTGCGGCGGTGGCGGCGGCGGCGCTGGCGTCGGCATCTCGCCATCTCTGCTTCGGCTTCGTTGGCTCAAGCGCCCAGGAGGCGAGGTCTCATTGCTTGGTGGGGCCAAGCCAACCTGTCTGCTCGGATGGTGTGTGAGCTTATGAGGGGGACTCAACTAGACTCAGGCAATTATAGTCTGTAGCGACTATGATGTCATAGAGGGTCTGCCTCCCGGGGTGATATCTGCTGGCACAGCTAGGGAATGTTCCTGGGAAGCTCTTGCCAACCAAACCGGCCATCGTGAACGTTGTGGCGATGGCCACATGTGGTTACAAAACTGATGTTGTTTGCTGTGGATTCCAAATGAAGCGCCTTTGTACATTCAGTGCTCAATTAGTAGAGTAGCTGGACCCCACGATGGGGTCTTCCTGTTTGTACATCAGCCACTTCCTGTTTGTACCTCAGCCTCTTCCTGTTCATGCCTTTTGCTAATATTTTCTGACACATTCCGCTTGCATCCCTTTTGTCTCAGGGGAGTCCCAAGCTATGTGAGAAGCTCTCTCCCACAGAAACAACAAGGAGTCCTGTGGCACCTTAGGGCATGTCTACACTCCAGAGTTATTTTGTAATAACTACCATTATTGCAAAATAACAAGGTGAGCACCCACACCGCGAGCCCATTATTTTGAAATTATTTTGAAATAACGTGCTTCTTATTTTGAAATAATAACCCCCTAGTTCTATGCGGAATACAGGTGACCCCCAACTTATGACCACCCGCCTTACAACCCCCTGCATTTATGACCATTTTTTCATGAGAGATAGCACCTAAAAAACCCCAATTTATGTCCACAGCTTGCACTTATGACAGTGTACGACACCTATGGGAAATAAGGGTTCAACTTATGACAGCGTGACTTAGGATGGTTCTCTGGGAACCAATTAGGTCGTAAGTGCAGGGGTCACCTGTAATGCCTATTTCAAAATTGCTAGTTGGAAATAGAGTTAGTGTGGATGCTCAGCGGCTGTTATTTTGAAAAAGACTGCTCCCCAGAGACATTCAGAGGAATTACTCCCCAGTGCTTCCTGCAGCTCTAAGTCGAGATAGCACATCCACATTAATGGAGCCTGCCTTGGACGAATTTCAAGGCATGCCAGTAGTGTGATCGAGCTATTTCAAAATAGTGATTTGGGGAGTTATTATTTCGAAATAACCTGGCAATGTAGACATTGCCTTAGAGGCTAACAGATTGATTAGGGTATAAGCTTGCGTGGGAAAAAACCCACTTCATCAGATGAATTGGAGTAGAAGTTACAGAAGCAGAGAGATATAGATATAGATATAGATATATAAAATATGGATGGAGTTGCTTGTGTGAATGAGGATCTCAATGGGTTAATGCCACATTTCTGAAACTGTGGGTCCCGACCCCTACGGGAGTCGCGAGGAACTTAGAGTATGTCTACACTAGTCCTCTAGTTCGAACTAGGGAGGCTAATGTAGGCATTTGAAGTTGCAAATCAAGCCCTGAATTTAAATATCTAGTGTAGACATACCCTTAGAGGGGGGTCGCGGTGTCACAAGGTTTGAGAACCCCTGGGTTAATGTGTTTATAAAATTCACACAAGCAAATTCTTCCTTGTATGTACCCCTGCAGTTTGGGCTGCCAACCCCAGTACATACCTAAGATCTTGGACAGGACTGTATTTGGGCAGATGTTTCATCCCACTGCACATACTGCCAGGGCCAGACAGTTATTTTTTACTACACTAGCGCAAACAGATTTTGCACATTTACACCTACCCGGGTTGAGATTTACACCTCCTAGCCATAGTGTAGACATACCCTAAAACACATGCAAAACGTCAAAGAACCAAGTAGGCCAACTACACAGCCACCCAGGAGGTGGTTGACATAAGAGTGAGCCCCAAACCACCCCACCCGCCTACAAATTCCCAAGGGGTAGCCGTGGCAACGGCACATCCGGAGTTCCACCCACCAGATCCTGGTGTCATGGAGACTGTATGTGGCAGTGTCTAAAAACCTCTCGAGTCCTAGTATCCTATGCAAAACGGTTCCGAGGTTGATGTCCCACAATGCAACTTGCCAGAGGCATTATAGCTGCTGCTGACATTTGTAGGTGGACTGTATCTCCGGAGTGCAGCTGGTGGACTGGCCAGCCGCCGAAATGTCGCTCTGGCTTCAGAAACACCATCACAGCCCTCCACCTCACCTCCCCCGTGTTGTCAGTGTGAGCCACATGCTTCTAGGAACCAGGGCAGCATTCTTTGGAACCGACCCTGCCTTTTGCGTGGTGGGTAGGCGCTTTTCCTAATTTCCCTAATCATTGATTATTCCTGTTTACCTTCTGATAACAACTGAGTTTTCTGGACAGCTTCTCTACACTTTCCCCCCACACACACTTAATCTTATGGCAATGATACTGGCCTTCAGCAGATAGACAGCGTCTGCTGCCCTGGCGTTTCACGGACCTCAAAAGATAAACACTTTTTTAAAGAACGTGCAGCGCTTAACCTCTTCAAAGCCCGGCACAGCCGTCCTCTCTGCCTCCTGGCAGGGCAGTTTGTCTTAGACTCTTAGAAATGTCAGGCTGGAAGGCCCCTTGAGAAGTCTGTAAGTCCAGCCCCCTGCACTGAGGTTAGGGCCAAGTGCACCTAAGCCAGCCCTGACAGGGGTTTGTCCATCTTGTTTTTAAAGGACGAACGGCAGTGGGGATTCCACAACCTCCCTGGGATGCCTGTCCCAGCACTTCACTACACTATCGTGTGCCATTTACTGCAATGGTGTCCAGTCTGGGGGCAGCACTGGAGCAGGACACGGAGGGAGGCGCAGGCCGGGGGTGCACAGGGTGGTCGTGTAGCTGGCAGGACAGAAGCGGCACTTTTAAGGGGAAAGCACCGCTTCCCTCCACCAGCCCCTTGCTCTGTGTGAGTCCACCGGCCCCACGAGTGAGCAGGGGCTGGGGGCTGAGTCATGAGGGGCAAGGGCCACCGGACTGGCACTGAGCCGGGGGAAGCAGCCGAGGGCTGCCGGAGCTTCTGGAGAGGGTCACAGGTCTCCATAGCTCTGGCACTGAACCTACAGTGGGGGGGAGGGTGGGAATGGGGACTGTCGGACCCCATAGGCAACATATAACTGCAAGGGGCACCATGAAATTTCATGGTGACCCATGTGTCTTCGTGTTTTGCATCTAGGTAGGGACTGCCTTGGCTTCGCCCGTTACTTTGTGTCCTGTCTTCTGAGGACATGGAGCACGGTTGCTCACCACAGCCTTTCACGTATTTGAAGGCTACCCAGTCCTCACTCAGGCTGCTTTTCTCACACTTTAACGTGCCCTGGTTTTTTAACCTTTCCTCGTTGGTGCGGCTCTCCACCCTTGATATAATTTTTGTGGCCGTCCCCTGGATCCTCTGTGAGTTATCCACATCTTTCCTAAAATGTGGTGCTCGGATTTGGACACAGTACTCTAACTGAGGCTTCACCCAGGCCAAGTAGGATGAGACATTTACCTCCCATGTCTTACATACAACACTCCGGCTACATCTACACTGGCACAATTTTCCGAAAATGCTTTTAAAGGAAAATTTTCCGTTAAAAGCATTTTCGGAAAAGCACATCTAGATTGGCAGGATGCTTTTCCGCAAAAGCACTTTTTGCAGAAAAAGCGTCCATGGCCAATCTAGACGCGGTTTTCCGCAAAAAAGCCCCGATCGCCATTTTCGCCATCAGGGCTTTTTTGCAGAAAACAGGACTGTGCTGTTTACACTGGCCCTCTTGCGCAAATGATTTGCGCAAGAGGGCTTTTGCCCGAATGGGAGCAGCACAGTATTTCCGCAAGAACACTGACAATCTTACATGAGATCATCAGTGTTCTTGCGGAAATTCAAGCGACCAGTGTAGACAGCTGGCAAGTTTTTCTGCAAGATCAGATGATTTTGCGGAAAAACTTGCCAGTCTAGACACAGCCTCCTGGTAAGTCACCTGTGATGGGGTGGGCTAGGCTCTGAGGCCCCCTGCTGGAGGCCTTGTGGCCCTGCCACACCCAGCCCCAGAAAAGGACAGTAGAAAGGTCCTCCAAGCTGCCTAGAGTGTTGTCTGGGAAGCAGCCAATCAGGGCCCAGCACATCAGTATAAAAGCTGCAAGGCCAAAGCAAGAGCAGTTCCTTGCTAGAGCTGGAAGGGAGTGGATGGGGCTCTGGGTTATCTGCTGGGATTCCATTAGGCCAAGTCCTTGAGGTTACAATGAAGAATATGCTGAAGCCACAGAGAAATGGCTCGGGGGATTGTAGTAAGTACTCAGTGTATTTAAAGCGGCATGGCAGATGGCTGCTATCGACTGAGACAATGAACTGGGTCCCGGAGTAAAAGGTGGGCTCCGGGTCCTCCCTGCCAGCCACTAGGAAAACAGCCTGGATTTTGATGCACCCCAGAAATTAAACTGAACGCTTTTAGTGGCCCAGCTGAAGAGCTGGGACCAGAAAGGTGCAGAGAGGCAGAAACGGTGTCCTGGGAGTCAGAGCTCCACACCAGGCCCAGGACTGTTTATAGAGCAGGGATAATCTGAGAGAGCCCAGAAGGGACAGACAGTTTGGTCTAGGCCCCTGCTGGATTGAAGAATGAGCCCTCAGATAGGACAGCAGATGGAAGGACCTTACAGAGGATGCTGAACCCCCAGAAAGGGTTCGCTTTGCTCTTGTCATATGGACAGAGCGTATGCGACTTGGCCCGAGGGGTGAATCAGGAACTATCCACTACAAACTTGAGAGAGCAAGTATAGGCCCATGCACTGAGATAGGGGGTGCTTGTGAGAGGGGCCCTGTCACAACCCCCCACAATGAGAGTCACCGTTTTGATAGCAGCCTCACCTTGTTGACTCTCATTCAATTTTTGATCCACTGTCACAATGCGGGATCCACTATTTAGAAAAGCTGGACATGCACAAATCCATGGGCCTGGCTCGAATGCATCCGAGGCTCTAATACTAAGATGGCTGGTGTCATTGCAAAGCCATTGGCCATTATCTCTGAAAGCCCGTGGAGATGGAGGAAGGTCCCGGACAACTGGAAAAAAGGCAAATATAATGCCCATCTCGGGAGCGGATTTACCGTGAAACTAACCGCAGTGCCATGGAGTCTTCAATAAGAACATAAGAGC